TAGATATATAGAATGTGAAAGGATGACAATCTTGTGAGGCAAGTCTGTGTGCATGTGTCTACGGCTGTGTGTCTGTGTACGTACGCACACGTTCGCATGTATCTCTGCCTATGCGTTTATATATGTATTCGTGTGAATGAATGAATACCATATTATCCCTATATCTAATTCTGTTGAAACGCCAGGCATCTGTGGAAGGCACAATGATCACGCTCATGAAGTGCGAGGAGGACGGCGTGACGTGCAGGAACGTCGAAGTTGGAGGGACGAAGGCCATGGACCTCTTGATGCCCAACAAGTGGAACTACGTCGATGTGCTGCTGGAGAACGAAGAGGTATGGCCGCGGGCGCTTCGCCTGCGAAGGGTCACACGTGTGTAGCGCGCGCTCACCATGCACGGTATAACACACACACACATTCAATAGATATTATATTTATATAGTAATTATATAGTAATAGTTATTATATATATATAGTATATATATTATATATATGTAATAGTATAGATATATTATATATATACATATTATACTAGTTAATATATAGTATAGTATGGGTAGCGGCCCCGCTATACGGATATAATATATTATAGTAGCATAAGGCCTTATATATTATTAGTCTAGACATAGTATCAACCTAGGTAGTATTATCAATAGCAATGATCACTATATTCAACGGCGTACTGGAGCCGTGTATACCTTATAGTGGGTAGTAGGTAGTGAGGTGGGGGTAGTAGGTGATATAAAGTGGTAGTATTTGAATCAGGTTGAATTACTACTAGTATAGAAAGTGGTACATCGGGTTATACATACACACACACACATCACGACCGACACACACCACACTATCACACAGCACACAGCACACACACACACAACACACAGCACACACCACACACACATGAATTTATAGGCGTTACATTATATATATATATAATTTATATATTTATATATATAGGTATAGCGTAGGGTTATAGATATATATAGTACATACACACAGCACAACACACGAACCGAACACCACACCACACACATTAGTGATATGTAGTAGAGTCATATAGGTATATAGGTATATATAGGCTAGTAATATAGATATATATTATAACTATGATAGTATAGATAGTAGTATATGAGGAGTAGTATAGTATATTAGTCACGGGTATGAATAGATGATGCACATAGTTGCACAGGTATGCAGTGAAGTGAGAGCGAAGAGACTGGCTGTTGACAAAGATACATTCCAACTGGAACCGGGCCGGCGGGGCCTAAGCAACCTCGTGCGCCGGAGGATGGCACCCCGTGTGGGAGCATCAACCACAAAAGACGCACGTGGATGGCCCAGGGCTGGAGGAGTGTCGCACCGCGACGACGCAGCGATGACGAGGTGTGGCCGCGAGGCTCTCCATCATAGCCGTTTGAGGCGCCTCGATGGCCAAGGGACGGAGGCGGGGCGTCGAGCGCGGAGAACAACTATGAAAAATTACCGTCAAGCGTGGCATTGTAGCAGCGTAGAGCAGTGTTGTAAGAGTGGTTACGTATGATCTACGGAAGGACGGTATAGAGCGTCCGTTTGATGAGCCGGCCGAAGTCAAGGCCCCGGCCAAAAGGCGGTGTAGACCTACGCAAATTCACTGAACTGGAACTGAGCTCACCTACACAATGCCCGTGTCTCCTGTCTGATTTCTGCATGGGCTTCTGAGGAGTTTACGAGGATGGGGTGGGCTACAGGAGCAGACGTTATGTTGACTCGCTTTGGATTCAGTCGTATCGTATATATTGGTCCTTTGCTGTTGAGTTGCTGAAGAGCGGCGTCGAGTGACAACAGGAACTGTAAGGCGGGCAGTTGTACATGGCATCTAGAAAATGGCCAAGAATGCCTATTACTGGCGTACCCTCAATACAGTGCGCCGAAATGCCCTTGTGAGTCATTCTGCTGTCGTAAGAGAAAATGGATTAGGAAAGGAAAATAAAGTGAGGCAGTATATGCTGACCTGGCTAAGAACTAAGAGTGAGAGTGGACTGCAGTGATAATATGTAGAGGATATCATCCTTTGCCTTTGCAGTCGCTTATCCAGCGCGTCGCTCGCTTTCTCGCCGCGAGACACCTTCATCCCCGTCAGCCGCTCCGTCACCGAGTAGCGTGCGCCGAACCAAAGCGCCGCACAGCGAGCAGCTGCCGTGTTCGGCGGTGAGGATCATAATGTCGGCGGAGGTACTCGAGGGCACAGGAAACCTGACTTAGCATCTATTAACGTGAAGATACAACAGTTTAGATGAATTGCGTAGTATTCCCGATCGACTACAAAATACCTGCCTTGTTGCTTGACGAGTATTCGAGGGCCCGTTCAGTTCGTGCGAAGAACAAGCTTGGCTGCGGTCATTGTGTTTCCTACAGGACGGACAGACGACCCGGCACCCGGGATGACAACCGGCCGCGGGGCCACGGTCCGGGCATCATCGTGCGGGAGGGTGCTGGGTGTCGCTGCTCGCTGGTGGATCGTCGCCATGCGCCATCGGCCGTGTCCGTATCCGCAGAGAGGCGCACGATGGAGGTGGAACCAGGCACCACGCCGCTCCGCAGGTAGCGGCAGCAGCGCACTAGGCCCGGAGCGTTGCCGCAAGGTCGGGCGTGGGATTGGGGAACTCCTCGTTTGCTGTGCGCATGGGAAGTCGTTTGCGGTTATGTGAATTTCACTGGAGTGTATGAATTATGGTATATAATATATTAGTATAATAGGGGATTAGTGAGTCAATATCGATATTATGTAGGTAGTAGGGTGCGTAGTAGTACTAGTAGTACATAGGCATCGTTGAAGTATAACTATTATGTAGTAGTTCCCATGTAGTGTAGCTATATATAGTAGTAGATACGTATTACTCGTATAATATTATATAGCTAGTGTAGTTGTCAGGTGAGGTGAGTATTTAGGCGTTGAGGGGTAGTGTGATTAGTGGGGTGAGGGGTAGAGTGTGGGGGCTGGGGTGATATCAGATAGTAGTAATAGGATAGGGCTAGTATATATATGAGAGACGACACACAGCGCTACGGACTGAGGACGACAGGCGACAGCACACACACACAGCACGAACACACGGAGCCGAGCAGCACACCGACACACACGAACACATTCACGCACCGACGAGCGACACACACACAGCAACGACACGAGCTGGGAGAGGCAATATTATAGTGATGAGGTAGGTGAGTGAGGGTATGAGGTAGTACTGATGAGTATATATAGTTACGTTAGAGTAGGTTGAAAGGGTGATAAAGTGGTACTGGTGAGAGAGGTATATGCGACACACACACAGGCATATTGCGATAACAGATATATTACGAGCGACAGTAGTGACCCCCACACTCTGTACGAGAGGTATTCAGCACCGTGAATCTCGTTGGTCATTCATCAGATGCAGACAATGAACGGATGAATATAAGATACATGGAGGAATGAGTGATGGAGTGTTCAGGGCAGTACTGGATACTGTTATGAGGAGTGACTGTATCAAATAAATGATCATTGATTTGAGTGTATTTTTTCGTACGATACACGCAAAAGTAGTTGTCAAAACTGTTCAAGCAAATATGCGAAAGTCAGTATGAGATAAGAAGTAGCATGGGATATTGCATATATACATCCGATTACTTCGAGGTCTTTTCCATGCCAATGTTTATATGTATGCATGACCATAGGACGGACCAATGCTATACTTTGGCAGAAAGATAATAGTGATTAGAATTAATTAGATTGGAATTATGATAATTATCTTTAACTGGTTGTGGTGGTTAAAATTCTTCGCAATTCAGTGGGAGGAAATCAGGGCAAGTTAGCAGGGGTTGTCCTTCAGAACAATCCTGGGCGTTTCATACCTTCGAGCGTGAGTAAAGTGCAGTGATGTAAGCCTAGTTGTTTACCCGGGCGAGAAAATTGGAAGGCTAATAGAGTTGAATTCAGGTAGTATATTCAGATGCTGGGCCAAGGAATGGGAATGCGGAAATAAGAACAGGAAAGATCGGAAAGTAAGTGTACTTATATGAAAAAATCGGTGGAAAAGTCAGGAAGTGGGAGAACGATCGATCAGTTGGTTAGTCTTAAAGTAAAGGAGAAAATATCGGGCGAGTGGGAGGTCAGTGTTCTTCAACTCGGATCCTATTGTTTGCTTTTTATCCGTGTTATTACGATGGTTATTGATTCATTACTCCAAGTTACGGGCAAAACAGAGGGTGTAAAAGGAAGTATAACCTGTAATTGAATTTAAGTTGGTTTAAGACGAGAAGTATTGCGTCTTGTTGGCTATGTGTATGTGCTGAGGTTTGCACGGGTGTTGAAGTGCTTACCGTCTCACTATACATCCTACAGGTTACAAAAGTGAAATTTGGAGTGAGAAACTGGGCCTTCTGCATGACGCTGTCTAACAGAGGGGAATAGATGCAGTCCAGCCCTAGGACCATGAGAGATCCTAGAGTCATGGTTACTCACAATTGGAAATTTAGGCGCAAAAACAGCTTTCTTATAATTGCCATCAGGAAATCGCAAAGAATCGGGGGCTGGGGGGTGGGCAGGGCGGCGGAATACGCGAGGAATAAACACAACCCCAATTCTTTATGTAGAGGGAAGGATAGTGCTTGAGAAAATTTGGCCAACACAACTGTAATACAGAGATATATTGCTCAAGTGCGTATATGCAACGAGAATCCACAAGTATAGTTGGTGGCAGCAATTTTTACAATTAATCTACAAGCATATATGTATAGTGATATGTATCTATCTACATAGATAGTATAACATGTATATGTGAAGAACACAAAAACACAGCGATATATACACGAGGCTGAGCAGGCGTAGTAGGTCGTAGTCTAGCGTAGTCTAGTCCGTAGTCTAGTCTAGGTCTCTCTATCGTATCTAGTCTAGTCTGATCTATCTATCTGTAGTCGGGTATCGCCTAGCGTATAGGGGTCATTACATAGTGATACGCATACAGCGATGTAAAAATAGCTGGTACGTACTATATATACATATGTATTCATATTATACATACCATATAGTAAGGGTGAGTATAGGGTATATTATAATAGTGCGCCTATAGGGATATACATCGATAGCATACTTGATATATAGTATATATAATCAATAAATATATATTATATATATACTTATAGCGTATATGATTGAACACACATACGCCACTACACATGTAAACATTATATGTACGCTATAATATGTTATTATGTTGATAGTATATATTACTATATATATATATATAACTATTAAGTAGGGGGGTGAGGGTATATAAACGAATGAGTGGTATGTTCGGCTCTATGATGGGGGCTGAGTAGGCTGATGAGCTGAGGATAGTATAGGGTGATAGTAGGGGTAGTAGGGTGTGTTGTGGAGTAGTATAGGTGAGT